GAGCTGTAGTTTTTTTTAACTGAAAAAATTCTTCTTTCTTGTCACACATAGAGAAAGTGAGAGAGTTGAAACGTGTTTTGTAGTTGTCGAAAATCGTGCACGAGCAGCTATTGTTACTGTAAGAAACTCGGGCATTCTCTCTACAATAGACATTGTTAATATTTTCATTAAATACTTTACAGTTCAATGGTAAAATCACTTATTGTTTGCCAAAAAAAGTGAAAATTGAAAACCGATGTTTGTTAAATGGTTATTGAACTATATGCTTGTTTATTATATCTGTGTAGTGTGTACGCAGATACACAATTGACGATTGGATTGAAGGATAATACGTTTCGATTAAGAGAGTTAAAAGCCGCTCAATCAAAGAGCTAAATTTACGATTCTGTTACATGTTTCTTTCGCCGTCTTTTTCATTTGTGATTAAATTGGCTGAATTTCTTATCAAGGACAGATTTTTTTGTTTTACTTTCAATCAGAATAGACCTTAACTAAGATCATTAAACATAGCCTGATATTGTCTGTCATTAATGTTCTATTTCGAGCTTAAACATGAATATCTATATCGCTCTTAACATCTCTCACTCACTCTGTCTCTTTCCCTCTCTCTCTCTATACATATATATATATATATATATATATATATATATATATATATATATATATATATATATATATACTAACAAATTTAAAATTTAAGTTAAGCTAGAAGTTTAATGATGTGAAATGTAGCTTACAAGGAGAGGTTACGAACGTCAGATCACTGATTACAATTTTTTGTTATCTATTTATGATATTTACAACTGTATTACAACATGAATACATCAAGTAAATGTGTACAGAGGAATATAATCACATGAAAACGCTTGTTGAGAAACTACCGACTGGTAGCACTCTAATAATATGTCTACATTAGGAGATAACGAAGCCATCTTCTTTTCAGTCGCCTCGAACGCAGATTACAATTAAACTACTTTTGGTGATACTAGATCAAAAAATATTACACCCGTTTACTTACTTTTTGGAGGCCGCGATGGTCGTGCGAGTTAAGGTGCCTGCAAAAATTGCATGCCACGAGTTTAAATTCCGTCCGCGAGATTTAAAATTAAATAAAATAAAAGTAATTAAAATAAATAAGTGCAGTCCCTACTCGATTGCTTGAACCACTACGGCGCGGGTACGATTCCCGTTACTGTCCCCACCCTGAGAGGAAGTTGAGGGATTCCTGTGTCTTACATCATAGCTCCTGGTCATCCAGATTGGTGATTGGGCACAGAACCATTACCCTATCCCGTGAAAAACAACAGAATGGAGATGTCTGCAAAAGCTTGCCAACCATTCTGATGAAAAGGGTCTGATGAAGATCCTGATTTGTGATCGAGTTCGGTTATCATAAACCACGTGCTCCCTTCATATCTATATTAGAGAACCAAACGATCACAGCTGTCGCCTAGAAAAGTCACTGGAAGACTAATGGCTTAAGTCAGATAAGTCAAGAGGTATCAGAAAAAATATTCATGATTTTGATAAATAAGATGTTCTGAGAATGGATAGTATTCCACCAAAACGTTAACCAGGAATTATAAATGATTAAATATATGAGGATAAAATGGATGATATTTGAAATGCCAAATGATCTTACAAATAGTAATAACTAACATGGCTTCCTAATAAAATAAATAAATATATTAAAATTTTAACTAGGTTGTGATGCATCAATCGATTTTATTTTTAGCGCAAAATAAAACAAAACATATCGCTGTTGTTAGTGTAAAAGATAGTACATAACAATTGTTCATTTTTATTCTTCTTGTACTGAAGGTGACATTTTGTAGTATGCAACTGATATTGAAGTCTGCTGCTATGAAAAATATCAGAGATAAATAAAATATGAAATTATACTAATAAATCATAATTAAATAATAATTTTTTATGATCTCTCGTAAAAAAACTTAATTAACCTGTTTCGACTGTTTTCTGCTTCCTGTAGTGTCCTATACAACGCGCTGATGAAGACCTACAAAGTGGTTCGAAACTTCGGCGTACCGATTAAAATACTATTTTAAAAGTTCAGTATTTATTCGACCGCATCCGCTGACCAACTCCTTCTCAAATAATAATTTTAAATTATTAAGTTGGTACTATTAACAAATAGAATAAAATGAAAGTTAAAAAAAAATAATATACAATAACGAAAATAAATACTTAAATGAATATAAAACAATTTATGAATAAATAAGCTTAAAAATAAGAAATAACACTTGAAATATATCTACATGTACAATTAATTAATGTAATTTAAAAAAAGGAAAAAACAAACAAAAAATCTAAACATGTAAATTAATAAACTATATAAATAAAAAACTATATAAAGAATAATAAAAAATAATAAAATAAAATAAAATAAAAACTATGAAAATAATGAAGTAACTAAAAGTAAAAAGAACATGTTTTCGTGAAACCTACATGCACTTTCTTAACTATACTTTTCTTTATTTATTTATCCTCTCCTATCTATTTTTTGTGTTTTGACATTGACCCGATGCCAATCTTAGTATGTATTGCCTGCTAATAGACTGAATTAGAGTTAATGAATCTGAACCTAAATCCAGGTAGGGTTTTGGTGTTGGCGAAAGTAATTTGTCAACATTAAATATTTACTCTTGTAAATTTATTCATCGTACAATGAATAAGAAGCCCGTTTATCATCTCACCTGCCGTATTTACAATTAATTCTCAGTACCTGTATCCGTATTACATGCTAAGCCACAAAAAAACATGATTAATGATCTAACTCAAATTAGAAAATGAATTTGCTCAACCGTTTCGGAAGAAAGTTAGTAACGCATTATAAATATCCCAGGTAATATCCATTTATTATTATAGTTTTCTATTGCTGACCTATCACTAATTCTCAGGTTTATACTTATACAAAAATACATTTTCTAGACAATTTGTTAGTTTGTTACCTACAGCCAAACTGCCAAATGGCGTAAAGTATATTTGCGACGAGTATAATTAAATTGATAAAGTAACGTATACAGTTAAACATTATAACAGTAATAAAGCCTTTTATTACGTCCATAACTCAACAATAGAAAACAAATCAAATTATTAAACATATTTACAAATAATAATAAATAGTTTAACATATATATTTAAAGTAAAAAATATTTATCAAATCTTCAAATTACATGTAAAACCTGAATGTGCTATTTTCATTGAAAGGTTTTTATCTATGTTAAATACATAGGTTCCGGATCGAGAGTACTTTTGTAAATCATATTTTTAAATAATATACATATTTTTACATATCATATTTTTTACAAAATATGCGTGATCTACGGTCAGTTGTGTAACCTATTAATTTAAAAAAGGTCAGAAAAACAAATTCTCGAAAATTAGTTCAGAGGCTTTGCAGGTATACTGTCGATGATTTACAATAATTTAAACTATTTGAATTTAGTGTTTGTAGATAATACTCCATGTCCTTCCGACGCAATATAGATTTTGTAATACTACCATGTTTTTTTAATAGCTGAAATAATCTAAATCGACATAATTTTTGTTGATTTAATTTTCGAACAATGCAATTTGTTCTCTAAAGATTGAGACCAATCCCTTGTTTCAGGAAATCCTCAGTATTTTTTGTTCTTAATTCATATTTTCTGTTCGCTACCGTTCATTGTATAGAAAATAATACATTTTTTTTTTAATTTTACTATTATATCGTGGTTAAACCTTAAAAGTTAATTCTAAAAAAAAAAAAGAAAACATTCTTCCACCATTCTTGTATTTTATAATATTCATATTTGTTTTCGCAATATTTCAACGATTTCGAACAAAATAATCACATAACTTTATAATTAACTATGAGAGAATTTTATCTACCAAATTTTCTGAAATATTTTTATTTTATTTTTCATTAAATTTGCCACTGCGTAGTAACGCATCAAGCAAATGTGCTAGCGTTTGTTCTATCTTCTTGTATTCTTTATACTTGCTTAACTTGTCACCAGAAGATCTCTAGGCCACTGCCTTTTTAGTCGTCGTTAAAGCTCACCAGGTAATGGGAAGGGAGATAGAGATAGAGCGAGTGGATTTGGGTGATTGAGAGTAGAAGAATGAAATGTTGTGTACTTGTTGAGTATGTAGGATTTTACTTTTGGTATGTTCATGTCTGTGTGTATGGTTTGATTTGAAATAAACCACATTCTGTTTCGTTTTACCCGTATATGTGTTTCCAACATATTTTGAAATATAAAACAATTTATGTAGCACGATACCAACATGTGCTTCTTTTATATGGTTATTTTATTTTACCCTTATGAAAAGCATTGCCTTTATTTGCAATAAAGCATTCCATAATTTATTTGCTAAAAATATGTGTGTGTTTTTTAATAAAAACATTTATATGTATTTTTGTATCCATTCAATTAATTCTTTTCAAGATTACACCAACTCAGGGCTAGAACGGACGCGATACAAAAAGATAAAGAATTATGGAAGTTATATAATATTTAGACAAAAAATTATTAACAATGTGAATAAGCTTATTATAATTATAAACAGTTATTACATTAAAGTATAAACAGAGTAAGCTAAGTAACAAGATCCTAAACTGAAGGAAATACATGCTAACAATTGTTGTAGTGAAATCTTGTTACTTAGCTTACTCTGTTTATATTTTAATGTGATTACTACTTATAATTTTAATAAGCTTATTCAGATTGTTTATAATTCTTTGTCAAAATATTATCTAACTTCCACAATTCTAGCCCTGAAGGAGACCTGCAAAGTCGGGTCGAAACTTTGGCCTTTGATAAAATAGTTTTGCCACTATTTAGCCTATTAATGCAACAGTCAACTATTAAATATACAATAAATATTTAAATATTTAATTAATAATGAATTATTTTATAATTTTCCATTTTCTGTATATTTGTCAAAAATAACGCTTCTGCCCATTCATCAGACGTAGAACCCATTTGACAGTGGTAATGAATCGGGTGACAGACGTGTCAAGACGTAAATTGCTGACGCAAGAGAGCGCTTTGTGGGAATTGGCTGCCCGGAAGCGGCCACAGCTGTTCACACTATACCACTGCTCTTGGAAGTCTGGAGCCGATCTTCCCAGCTGCAGGACATTTGGTCAAGTTTTGCAAAATAAAAAACTTGCTTGTTTTCTAGATAGAATATTCTTATACAGTAATTACCTATGATATGGAATCATTCAATTGCAGATCAAATAAAGGCTACCAGCTAATTTTTGTGGATGCTTCTTCTTCACGTTCTTTGGAGCAGAAGGTTTTTTTCTGGTTTTGGGAAGAGAGACTATCCCGTGGAGAAGAGGAAGGAGGGGTGCCGGGGCCGTGAAATGTGAAGTGGCGATCCGCCATCTACTATTGCAGTATGGAGGTCAGTGGCCCAATAACGGTAGCATCTTCTCCTGTCGGGGGTGGCCATTCCCAACATATATTACCGACATCTCCACTTTGCGAGTGAGGAATCCCATGGGCTATGGGTGTTCTAACGTATTCCAAATGCTTCTACAAGCTTTGTGGGAAACCTAAATTATTATTTGTTCGTATTTTTTTCACTCTATAAATAACGACTGTACGAAACAAAACTCAGAACCGAGAACAATCCTCCTCATCTTTATGTGGGATATGACGTAATCGAAAAAAAGGTGTTGGCTAAAGATTTTTAAGACGGAAACATTTTAATGTAGTTTTGAATTTTCGAAGGGGATTATTTGGACGGTTTTATGAATTTTGCTGGGAATTATATTTTTATGGAAATTAAATTTGGAAGAACTTTCAAATTAGTGAATAAAGAGAATACATAAACTAGACTACAGCAATTATGGATGATCCACAAATTTCTTAATTTTATTTTCGCCATTTAAATTTTTATGGGAAAAGGAAGGATGTGCAATCAATATAAATGGGCAGGTACCTCTTTGTTAAATAGTTGTTTGATATATATTTAATAGTTAATTGGTAGATAGAGATGATTATATATAGTGGTGCTAATTGCAAATATATTTCTTCTCGCCACAAATTCCTACAATTCCGTATATTTCCAATTCCAAATTACAATACTACAAATTCCCCCTGAAAATTAATAAATAGATTCATCAAATCGTTACCTACTACTAGTTTACTTACAAAAATTATCGAAACTAGGGTGGTTTCAATCTGGAGATCGACAACAATCGTCTATTTGATTAGGTACTCAATCCTAATAGATACCTTTTGGCTTTCCACTGGGATCGTTAGATAATTTGATCACAAAATCGAGAAAAAAGATGGCCTTCAAAAGTATTGAATATTTTGGGGTGACCTTCACCACTAAAATGTCAAAATAACGAGGTTATGTAGATCAAACGGCCTAATATTTTTGTAGGCTACATTTTTTCTCTGTATTTTTAACAAATTATCTTACGATCCAAGTGGAAAGCAAATAAGTATTTACAAATTTTTAGTACCTAATTAAAAAGACAAAGTTTGCCAATCTCCAGATTAAAAAAGCCCCAATTCTCAGAGTTTGTTAAATAAAATAGATTTAGGTTACGATGAGATGAAGATATTTATGAAATTTCAGGCGGATGTTAATAATTTGATAAAAAGGGGTCTGTACCACGGACTAATGCTTATACTATTCTATAATTTTTAAACATATTTAATTTAAAATACTTCATTTATAATTACAGGCTTTATCAATTCCTCTACAATCTTGTGCAAATTTCAATTTTTTCTAATAAACAATTACAGAGATGAGGGATGGGCGTGAAAATTTTTAGAATGATTAGATATGCTCGTTCAAAATGTAAATTTTATTTGTTTAAATGAGTTTAAAATTTCGAATTCCAAATGTTTGTTCCAAATTTAATTTAAGCAGTTGGAACTATAATATGCTGTACATTTAATAACATTAGTTTTAATTAACATTAATATTATTTATGTTTCTTCTAACTCGACAATACGAGAGAAGAATTTAATTATAACATTTAACTGATAAATTCTCAAAAATTCTTGAATATGGGAACGTAAAAATATTTATAGAACAATTGAGTACCATAATATATGCATTCCAATCACACAATAGATCTCTACGTATTAAATGACTTAAGAAATCACAATTTTATTTAATCTTATATGGAGTTTGATTTCTTTTTAGTATCTCAAGGATCCTAAATTGACACCTCCCCCTATCTTGCTGCCGGTGAAGGCCAGTGAAGAGCCCTAGACCTATAGCTTTCTAATTGAGGGTTATTACAGGGCACAGATGGGGCGGACTGGTACCGATACCAGTACCTGCGCTCGTAAAGGTATCAAACCTGGGACACGTGCTTCGAATCCCTCCGCTTGCGTAACCCCCCCCACAACTTACATAAACTTATGCCTAGGCGAGAATCCGGGATTTAAATGATCCCCAACTTTCACGGTCAGAGCTGGTTTCAAAAAGGAACAGTGATTTTATTCCTTTTTGTTTTTTGAAACTCTCACCCCCGTGTAATATCTTTAGGGAATTACTGTCCGAATAAAGAGGGATATGAAGTTAAAAACGATGGTATATTAAATCGTTTAAGTATGACAAACATATTCCAGCGGACTGTTTAGTTGAAATATATGTGTTGTGTACAAAGGGATATACATCACACGGTGTCTCTGTTACATCGACTGTGTCTTCTTAAGTATCAATTAATTCCTTTCTTTTTGTTTTTTAAACAAGCTCTCTCACTGGTTGGTATGCTGTGAAATTAATATGTATTTTTATTTCTTACTAGAAGCCATCAACTATAGAAATCTTTTAAGACTATAGGGCGGCGCCTTCGGACAATAAATGCTATTCCAAACTAAGAAATTCAATTTGGAGTCACTTTCTCCTGTTTTTATATGTTTAGAAACTGTAACACCTCTTTCGGTCCTCCAGATATTTGTCGTTGAATTAACTTTCTATCGATTATATGTACTAGCTCTACTTTCTCAGTTTTTAGATTTAAGGATCTAGCCGTTTAATACCCAGTCATTACTTCACCGCAATACTTCTATTTTCGTAGTTATATTTTCTCTTTCGATACAAAACCTTCCTCTCAACATACAAACTCTTATGAAGCTTTCCTTATTATAGTTATAGTGTTTGTTCCAAGATTTTTCTTGATCTGTTACGTCTTCCGTTAATATTTTGTTGTTTTAGTACTGTCAATTATTTTGGATGAATTTTTTTTTTAAATCTTTTTATTAAGAAATAAAAAAGTTTGCCACCTTAAAGGTTACATGAGTACTTGAACTGAGTGAGGCACATTCATACAATATATACCTTAAAAAAAAAAAAAAAAAAAGATATGTATATACAAGCCAAAAACTACAATAAAATCAAAAGAAATGTAACTTGAAGCGAAATTAAATAAACAATAGAAATTCACATGGGAAAAAATCATAGAGACGGTTGAGTATTCAACTGTTCAATTATAAGGATGGAACAAAATTTTCAGGAATTTTAATCAATTTATTTTTATTTGGTCAGCCAAGGTTTCGACCCTAACATATGGTTCATCCTCAGGGCTATCATTTGAAAGTTGATAGTTATATTTCTTCAATAAATTTGTCGAGAACTGAATTGTTGATGTTATTGTTATTTTACATGTCGGCCATTCCACCGAATGAACCATCTATAATCATGAGAATTTCAAGTAGCTTATGGGATGGATAATTTTATACAATAATTTTACATCTGGCATATTCCATTTTTCCTTACTGTTATAATTATAAGCGAAGCTGATGTATTAAATGATTTTTAATCAGCAACTGATGATTTATATATAAATATAAATAAACAAGAGGAGAACATATGTTGGAAAGAAACACCTGAAGTGGCTGAAACCCCGAAATAAGTGTTACCCAAATGCGAGACCGAGACGAGTCTTAGTCTTCCAAACTCAGTCTTGTTTATGGTCTTGGTCATGCGGTAGGGTCTCGCAACAGTCTTGCAGTTACTTATTAGCTTATTACTATAGATATATGACTGTAATTTTTTAGATAGGAGAAACCTAACTAAGCCCTAATGAAAAATTAGAGGAGTTAAATGCAAAAGTATATTGGTTATACAAGTTATTTACATATAGTAACTAAGATTGTCAAGATTAATATTAATAACTATTTTATCTTAATTTTTATTCGAAATTCGATTTTGTTTACCAGCCCTGGTCTTGGTCTTGCAAAGTGCAAGAACAAGACCGATTTTGGGCAACACTACCCGAAATGTCAAAAATTGATTGATGCTTTAAAAGCGATTGGAACCATGTTAGCTGAGAATGCCAACATGTCCTATTTAAACTAAAGAATCTTCATTTACTTGCAATATTATTCTAAATGAAATTAGTCATTTGGAGAGTAGAATTAACATTAGTCAAATTATTTATCTTGTTAAATTAATTTTCAATTTTACATATTCTGTCTTTTTCATTATACATTTAGAAACTTTTGTTTTACTACCGACTTTTCTAACTTATTAACAATCTTATTTACTTTTTTATTGATTTAAAGAAACAATAGGTACTGGGTACTCAATTGTAAAAGTTTATTTTTTATCATATATATTTCAAATTCCTCACTTAATAGTATATTTTTTGATTCATAATTTGGCCGATCTCTTCTTCCGATCCGGTTTCCACTTGGATGGACTCTGGTTCGGTGAGCCCACACGGTACAAAAAAAAAGGAAAAAACAACCTTCTTAAGCCGACGTCAAACAGCAGGTACGGAAGTGCTGTCGGTGTTCTTTTTCGGTCCCGCTGTCTTTCTTTACCCACAGAAAAAGCCTTTTCGTAAGCAAATAAAAAGGATTTCAGCTTAACGTATACTGCCCTTTTATGGTCTTAGTAATCAGTGCTAAGTTTTTGATTATACTTAAAACTTTTAGAAGCACAATAAAACAGTGAAAAAAAGTAATTAGAAAACATGCATTAGCAGTCACGAAAAAAATATTCTTGTATAGAAATTATTGATTTATTTTACTTACCTACCTCTACTATTTATGGCAAGTATTGTGACCAGGTCGAATTTCAGATGTGCGGTTTTTGATAGATCTTTAGATTTCAGAGCCTCCTGTCCACAAAAAAAACACATTTTAAGCCTTTGGTCTGACTGTCTGTGCCATGATTATTTCAGGAACTAGTTTACCGATGCTTCTTTTTCTATTTTGTATGGTTTTGACTACTGATGGACAATAATGGCTGCGAAATTAGTGGAAAACTTATTGATATAAATCCGGTGCCTGTATCACACACGTTTCACTTTCCCTTCTAACAGATATTATTGCCTGACCAAATTGGGTTATTGCAAAAACAGTTTTCGATTTGCAATATTATACTGTATTAATTTTTTTACGCAGGTCTTCAACGAACCAGTTTACATAGCTTTAGTTTATTGTCGTACTTATCACTGAAAAGGGCATATTTAAAGCTATAAATACTCTTCTGAAGTCGGCAGGAAAATTGATTGGACATACCAGATTACTTCACTATCGCAAATCACTGTTTAATAAAAACATATGGTTTCTTTGTCACTGTTTACAAACTTGTTATTGTTATCGTTATTTAGTTATAACTTCATTTTCAAATAAATAGCTATATAGGAATTCCTTACCTACCTAATAATAATAATATAAGCAAATCCTCTTCATTAACCTCATTCAAACAACATTTTTTCTTTCATCTCATCGCTATTCACGCTTCCGATTATATGTAAGAATACAATTTTCGTATTAAAGAGCTGTCACCTTAATTTGATTGTTATCTTACAGATTGTTATATATTATCAATATTGATAATCAGTACAAGTATGTGAACGAATTCATACACAATTTAATATGTTTACTTGTCCTTTGTTTATTTTATTTTATGGTTCGTCTATTACGTTTCTTAGTTTCTCAATTTCCTTATAATGCCAGGCCTGTTCATGCCACCTTTCTGTTCATTTGTAGTTATTCTTAACGGACTGAATGTCCTAGAATAAAATTTACTTTTCTTCTTCTTCTTCATGTTTTTCACCAATTAATTAATTAATTAATTAATTTTTGTTTAATATCTATACTCGCCAGAAGGTACACTTACAAACACATAATAAATAAATAACCCATATAATAATAAATAAATAAATAATAATAAATATAGTTATTTATTTACTGATTGAGATAAAAATAATAAAAGGTAACAGTTAAAAATAATTTAAACCAAAATAATATTTTATTGAAATGTCATTTGAGGTAGCGATTTAAATAAGACAGAATTTTTTATATCTTCTTTAAAGGATAAGAGATCATCATTTAAGTATTCTTTATTTTCCCTCTTCCCTTCTACTATCCTAGCATAAAAGCAGTCGACATTTAATTTAAAGAAAAAACTTGATTTCGTTTTTTTAAAAAATAAGTGAAAGAGTTATATAATTAGTCAAGGATATAAAACATACTTATAATTGTTGCCCAAAATCGGTCTAGCTCTTACACTTTGGAAGACCAGGACTGGTAAAAAAATCGATTTTTTTAATAAAATTTCGGGGAAAATAGTATTAACGCTGTACAATTTTAGTTACTATATGTAAAGAATTGGTGTGACAATATACTTTTGCATTTAACTCTCCTAATTTTTCATTCAGACTTAGATTTCTCCTGTCTAAAAAATTACAGTAATATCTCTCTAGTAATAAGCTAATATGTAACTGCAACACTGTGTTCTTGCGGAAGACCAAGCAAGACCTAGATCAAGACTGAGTTTGCAAGATCAAAATTCGTCTCGGTCTCGCATTTTGGCAACACTAATAATAAAGAAGGGGAAAAAAAAAATCTCATTCCAAATGACACCTAAAATATCGTGGCGATTTGTCAGCTTCACAACGGACCAACATTGACACTCCTCGTGTGGACCAATAGCACTTTAGATGACAGCGCTTGCTAGCATAAAATTTTCCTATAAACCAGGCTTAAAAACATAAAAAATAAAACTTAAAACCCAACACCCAAATTTTTTTTTCTAAATCATTCGTTTTTAATAATAGTTATCACTTAAGACCTAACTTAGCACATTTCATTGATCAATTAAAACATTTAAATTTGACAATATCTAAAAATCTACTTCTTTTGTGAATGGTGTATGACTGATTACGTTGAGGTGATATTAATTTACATTGCACTTGGCAATGAATTTGTAACCTACAAACCTCACTAACATTAGCTTTCATTGATATCTATAATTTAAGTTATATTAGTATAATTTTACTGATGTGAAAAAAAAAATAAAACAAGCAAAGTTTTATAAAGCAATCCACTACTGTTGATGCCTTTAAAAAACTTTTTGGTTGATTGAAACAATTAGGGG